AGCCTATCACTGCATAATTCTATGTCTTGTTCCTGTGTATTTTCATATTCCTGTGTATTAAGCTGAAGATCTGTAATACTGTTGCATTATAGACACATACAGCAAAAGTATTCAATAAGCAAATCCTTTCAGTTTAAGGTAAGAATATAACATTTTCATTTTCACTCATACTTCAAAACCTTGGGAAAACTGAATATAAAATCAGGATTATCTACAGTAGATAACTGCAAAGACTATATTCAGTCTCATATGTCATTATGGATTTTCAAATCAAAATTTTACAACAGCCAGGGTTTGTTTTTGGACTTTCAGGTCAACCTTGGGAAGGAGTTAAGATGTGCAGCTTCCCTAATTATTTAACAGAATTTAGGGTTCTCCTGATGATGCTTGAAGAGTAGCACTTCCTTCGAAAGTACAGGTAGTCCTCATAATGGAGCCTGCCTATTATTGTTGTAAGACATAAAATGGGTTGGTCACATGACTAACCTGATTTTTATGACCTTTTTTGCCTTAAGTGAATGCTGCAGTCATTAAGTGAACCAATGGTTTGCTATGGGCATTTTGCCAAAAACTGGAAGTAAATGCTAGCCAATTTGCTTCCAGGTCCAATTCATGGTGTTGGTTATAATCTTAAAATCCTATATGGCTTGGGGCCAGATTATCTGAAGGAGCATTTTTTCCCAGTTATATCTACTGACTCACAATAGCAGTGAGGCAGGGTATGGTATGGGTCCCTTCTCTTAAGGAGTTTTATCTAATGGAACCAAGGAAAAGTGACTTCTCTGTGGAACATCATCCTATCAGAGATCAAATTGGCCCCAACCTTGGTACTTTTTCAAAAGGTCTAAAGTTATGGTTTTGCCATAGGGTCTAGGGAGTCCAAAGTGATATGGTTTGTTTGATTGTTGTCACCAGGGGGTTGGGAGTTTATTGGGTTTTATATTTATTTAGAGTTTTATTTCTGTAAGCCACCTGGAGTCACAGTGAGTTGGGTGGCCATATAATTTTTCTAGATGGATGGATGATAGGTAGGTAGGTAGGTAGGTAGGTAGGCAGGGAGGCACGCAGGCAGATAAACTGATTCTTTTATCATTCAGTGCACTGGCATATACATATGAAATGGGTATGACAATGAAATACTGCTTTTCTCATTTGGGTGAAAGCAGTAAGAACTCTGGACATTCATGGTTCAGTGTGGTGTGTAATACAGCCCAAAAAATTTATAAAGAGTTCTTGTTATTTATCTAGATTTCCTTGCACCCTGATGCAACAGCACAATAATTTCTTCTTCTCTTTTACCATCTCCAAACATAGGGGTACCGGTAGTAAGAGGATATTGGCAGAGACAAGTGCTAGTGGCCAGCCTCACCCAGTCTTCTGAAAAACCTATGCTCTGTGACCAACCATGTCTACTGAGACATATATTCTGTGAGAGTAACAAGAACAACGACGACGACAACGATGACGACGACGATGATGATGATGATATAGTGTCAAAATGCCCCATGTTCTTCCTATCTCAAAAAAGTTTGGGATATTAGCCTAAAGCTTGCTAAAGCTTGATTTCTGATTACACCCGAGTCAGACCGTGAATGGAAACATGGCATACAGTATTTAAGACAGAAGGGTGAATCCTAGTAAAAAAAGTGAGAGAAGTGGAAGAGAAGAAGTGCTTCAACAAAGAGCCTTCAGAACGTTGCCTTACTGGGACAATATTTCCTCTAGCTGGTCAAGTCAGTGCTACAGTATGCCACATGTGGTTATTCTCATACAATTCCTCCCAGACATTTTTAGGCAGCTGATGCAAGTTTTAAAGGTCAGCAGAGAGGATTTATTCTTCACAGTTCAAGAGCAAATGACTCAGATTTTTCTGGCAAAACAGAACAGCTTTTCTTTCCCAAACAACTTGTAGTTTCCAAGCTCCATCTCTTTCTTGCTATGTTGCATGTTGGAAATATAAGATCTTCCTATTCCAAACAGATTACTTGTTCTTGGGGGGGGGGAACTCTGACCTTAGGTCAGACCTCATCTTGGACAGCCTCTAACACAGAGATAATTCCTTTCCATGCATTCTAGAAGGTCCTTATGTAACATGCATGCAAGTATAGGAGAGTAACTCTGTTCCAATAAAAGAGAGCAGATGGTCCATGTTTGCTTCTATACCAATGCTTGGCAGCATGACACCATGAGTTGTGGGTGAAAAATGCACAACACCATGAGTTGTGGGTGAAAAATTTATAAATCAATAGCAAAGTTTCTTCTAGTAAGAGAAAGGGAAATGTATTTGAGTACTGTGGAATATCAGGGAGATAAGCATTTGTTCTTGCTTTTCTTTGGCAAGAAGCAAACACACACTTAAGTAAAACCAGTTCAAGACATTTTGATGGCTGAAGGGCAACTGAAACCAAGTGAATAGCAGGTTAGTTAGGTGAAGTAGGCAAGTTGTGTGATACAGTATACATAGATTTGGTCTCAGAGGAAAAGATTGGGAATTCATAGAATCATTGCATTGAAAGAGACCTTAGAGGTCTTCTAGTCCAACCCGTTTTTCTGAGCAGAAATCCATATACTATCCTGGACAAATATCCTTTACCACACTTTTCTTAACAACTTCATTTCTCAGGATCTTTTGTACTGTGGTGACCAAAACTGGACACACTATTTCAGGTGTGGTCTGATCCATGGTGCATAGAGCAGTATTAAGACCTTCCATGTTCTTAACCTTATATATCTGTTGATGTGCCCAAAGCTGCATTGGCTCTTATAATAGCTGTGGCACAATGCTTAATCTGTGGTCTACCAGGACATCCAGATCCTTCTGGCAAATATTTCTGCTGAGTTACCTGTACCTTTGCATTTAGCTTTTCCTACGTAAGTGCAAAATCCTACATTTCTCACAACTGAAAATATTTTGTTGAATAAATTCTGATCTCAAGTCTATTAAGATCCTTTTGAACCTTAAGCTAATCTTTTGAAGTTTAGAAACCTTCCCTAGCTTGCTGTCATCCACAAAATTTATGAGCATCTGTTCTATTAATAGAGAATATTTGTAGCTCAGGGTTGAAATGAGGGGTCCTTGGTGCTCTCTGAGCTTGGTTATTTTCTTGCAGATACTACATTACCCAAACTAGCTAAAATCAGCAGTGCACTAATGATGTTACCTAGTTTGGGTAATGAAATGTCTGCAAGAAAACAACCAAGCTCAGAAAACACTAAGGATCCCTCATTCCTTCTATTTCCACATCTACATGTTTATGAAGATATTAAAAAGTACTGGGCCAGGACAGAACCCTGAGGTATCCCACTGCGTATCTCCTTCCATGTTGACATAAATCCATTGGGGATCACATAGTGATAATCAGACATTGTTGCAGTTTATCGAAAAGGGAGCAATGGTCTGTTTTGTTAAATGCCTCTCTGAAGTCTTAAGGGCGCTACATCCACAGCATTCTCCTGGTCCACTAATCTAGTCATACTATAAAGAAAGCAACAAAATTTGTTTGGCATCCTGTTTTTAACAAATCCATGCTGGATTCTGCTAATCAATTTGTTCAGTTTTTTTTTTTACTATGTTTTTCAAAATACAAATTCCAAAAAAAAAAAAAAAAAGACATGGACGGAACATTTACACACACACACAAAGTCCACACAAAATTTAATGAAACATCGCAGGAGATCCAGTGACTTTGCCCTTTCTTGTTTCAATAATAACAGCTCATAGATGCAGAGAGAAAAAATGATTTCCATCCCTGCAGTTTTTTTTTCATCTCAGATAGTATTTTGGAAATACTTAGTACCATGATCTGCACAAGTTTCAGTGAAGAAAAACATGACCTGATAGAGAGAACGAGGGGTGAATAAGCCTCACAGGCCACGGAACAGAAATGTGCAAAGTATGATTTCCACCCCCTTCAAGAATTATTATAGGAGAGGGAAGAAAATAAATCTTATGGCATTCAAAACTATTTGATAAGACTTAGCAGAACAGTATGTTTTTTTCTTGATGCATTTTGGAGGATTTTGCAGTAGACGAAGAAATGCAGTTGAACTGATTTTAACATGCAGAGACCAAAAAAAGCAAGAATGGGTTGAAAGAGAGAGAGAAAAGATTGAGATTCTAATTCTTCTGCCACTGGGATCCTGTTGATTTAATTTTCACTTCCATATCGGATCATCTTGACTTCTGGCATAAAGTCTGCCAGAGTTGGCTCAGTTTTAATAAAAGTAGTGTGGGACATGGAGGTCTGAAGATGTGGCAACTGCCAACACAATGAGCCTGTATAAAAGCATGGGTCAATAATATCCCCTTGACAAGATATTTGAATGTATAATATGGAAAGAGTTTTACCTACCTTATCTTATATACCAATGGAACTGATTTCTCTTTACTTTACAAAAGTTGCAATAACAATGTATTAAAAGTACATAATGTGTTAACCATTGAAAAGGTAGCATGTGGATTGAGATGTCCACTAGGTAGATCAGAAGTGGAGCTCAGAAGCCCAAACACTGGGTGCAAAAGCACTGTAACATAGCACTCTAACCATTCTATGAAATGTTAGAATACAGAAGTTCTTCTAGAGAACCGAAATGAGGGCCAGGTTTTCCTGGGAAAAAAGTGTATCTATTGTTCCAATCCTCCTCAGCAGCACAGTCCACAGGAGAGTTATCTCTATGCAAAAGGATATACAGTACAATACCAGAGATGTCTACCTGTACTTTATGAAAACTAAGCATGTGTATTAGGACTTCCTCCAGAACATTTTTTGCAATGCAAAATGATGGTGACATATAAGAGAAATCCCACTGCAGTTTGGGAAGGCTTTCCTACAAGTAATTTTAAAATCAGTCTTCATAACATTTTATAACATTAAAACCAGAGCCATGTTAGTTATTTTTTAATAAATTTATTCAGATTATTTATAATGAAAGGATAAATGAAAAAATCCTTGATCTTTATAGCACCATAAAGTTTAAGATATTAATACTCAAAACTGTTGTAATGATATTTATTTAATTTATTTAATCACAGAATTTAATCTAAAACTCCTAATGCAATTAACAGGGTACCCACTTTCATATTACTTCTTATTTTGAAGAGTTACAGTATCCTTAATAATTTTATCAAAGTTTGGGAGCTTGTCAGATTTATCATTGCTCATTATAATTGGTCAACATTAGCTAAATGAGGGCAATGATGCCCAGAGAAGGAAGTAGCAGTGGAGACTGATAACATGGAATGCCATCAATAGTCATGGACCAAAGAAAAGCAAAGGAGATTGAGTGATTGGCACAGCAGAACATATTTTCATCATCTACAGGAAATGATGCTACTGATGGTCACAAGCATTACACAAGGCAGCAGACAATGTACAGATCCAGATTTTAAGGCTGTGAAGTTGCATGTCATGACCAACACATACCAAACTCAATATAGGAAATGTCTTCACATTCATATTAATGACCAAACTATCTCTAACAGACTTTCCATAATCTTCCTTTGGCTTTCATGAAGCTAAGGTCATGGTTATTTTTTTATAACTAATTGCTCCTAATCGGTATAAATCTGCATAATTACAAAATAATGAGCATACAGTAGCTAGGAAAGAATGATCTAAAAAACATGTTTTAAAAGCAAGGCAACTGTGTGCGTTGAGTTTCTTGAAATGTTATGAATAATGTTACTAAAATTTTTCCTGTGTCAGATCTCTTCCAATTCTATAGTGCATAAGCTCTGTTTAAGTATTTGGTCTGAAGAGATCAAGACAAGCAGGGGCAGACCTATTCCAGGTCCTTCTCTGTTGTGGTTAGGAAAAACTGAAGGGGTCATTTGAACATTAGGAAGTTAGTATTCTCCTTCACAAGAACAAGGAGTTTCCACAAAGATGAAAAAGTGGGAATTAGAAAGTAGGAATAGTAATATTGGGAACAGTGCATACTCCTATTTGACACTGTTTTATTTGTTAGGCATCACTCCTGAATAAGGGTAAAATGCCCTCTCTAATGGATGAATAGGCACCCACTCTCTATCTTTGTACCATAAGGCATAAGGACAGTCCTAGTTCCATTTTGGGTTCATAATTATGCTTCAAAAGGAAGTGCAAGCGCTTACCTATTTCTTCCCATGCCCCCAAATAAGTAAATAAGTCTTAGGACAGTGGAAGAAAAAGATGGTGGCATGCTTCAGTCTTCAAAGGACTGAAATAAACAGCCCTTCAGTCTTGCACATGAATTCCTATCTTGAGGCTTCCACCCTACTATCTAGAAGTCTAACATAAAGAATCTTACTTAATAAAGCAATGTTACTTAATACCAGATGTTGATATGATTCACTAAGCTGAAATTATGGATTGTCAGGACACTGGCCCAGCGAGTGCTAACTTTTTGGCAGAAAACAGCGGGACACACAATCAATATATATTAATTCTCTGCATCTACTCCAGCAGCATCTTCCTGATAACCTGTGACTTTTTAGGTCAGAGTGGCAGGCTCACAATTGCACCTTCCATATGAGCCACTTGATTAACTGAAGGCAGATGTTCTCTGCTTTTTTAACCATGAAATTACTGCTATAGCATATCTAACATGCTCAGATTCAATAGCAAATATGTTCCTCACTTGCAAGTTCAATCTATTCCGGCACTGTTCACTCTGCATCAGGCTGGGTCACACACTAAGTGATGGAATGATTCCTTTTTGTCATAGTTGCTGCAACTTTCTCCTGAATCACAGTAGTTGTCCATCACTGGAGGTAAGACTAATGACAGTAGAAAGCAAACTGTCAGTCCAATAGGAAACTTTCTCAATGCCTTATCTGCAGACCAAGTTCTTAAGTATCATAGAAAAAACAGAGGAGAAAAACAAAAACTGTTTCTAACCATTGTTGTGATCCATATTCAGCTGGCTTAACCAGGCATTTTCTCATTTTGTAGCAGAGATGCCGCATCAAAGTAAGTAGTGGTCTTCATTCAGTTGCAGCTAGAAATTGCCTTTTGTCCACTAGCAGGTGAAGTCACAGCTATAAATTCCTCCACCCTCTCCATGTTTAGCTGAGAGTCAGATTTCTTAGACCCATTCACCAGAATCTGGCTGGTTGAAGTTGACCCTTGTTGAAATGCTGGAAAGGGGAAGGATGGAAAATCAACAGTTAGACTGGAGTTAAGCCATAGAAGAAACCATGCAGACTCCCTAACTGTACTGCAAGAAAGATATCATGCTGGCCTAAAATGTGCCATTCTCACAGATTTGTGGCAACAGAAAGTACTGTAAATCACTTCATACACAGAAAAATACTATAGAAATGAACATAAACATTCTTAACATAAAAATAATGATTTTAAAACAATACTTTTCCCTAATAGTATACTGTATTTCCCCAACTGCAATTCTACCCGACCACACCACACTCTATCTAGAATGATAAAATACCCCATATTAAAAAAATCATATTGCTGAATTGGTTCTGCATAACTCCAGAAAAAATATTATTTCATGTGGCAGACAGCTAGGCCAAGGCATACAAATTACTGATTTACCCCTTTAAATTCTTCCCTCCTGATTCTGGCGAGGTTCATATAGAACAGGGGTGTCAAACTCACAATGTCATGTGACGTATCACGACTTTTTTTCCATTGCCAGCAATGGGTGGACATGGTTTTGGCATGACGCATCTGGCCCGCAGGCCGGCAGTTTGACACCCCTGATACAGAAAGAAGGGAAGACCTTGCAAAGTGCTACCTCTTTTAATCAGAAAGAGGCGAGGGGATAAGATTGTTCTGAACTCTTTATCTTTCTCCCTTTTATAAGAAAGCACATCTATTAATTGCAGTCGAAAAACAAAATGGCAGAAGTGGATCATATCCAGTTCAATCCTCCTGATCAGTCAGACTATCGAATTATATCTGAGTAGAAAGAGACTATGAGGAAACAAAGTAGCCATCCTGTGCTGGAGAATATTTGCTGTTCCAGGTAAAATAATCCAAGCACAGGGAGATGTAATTGCCAAGTCAACCTTTGTTCTTAAATATTTAAACAAAGGTGAACTTAAACATTGCTACAAGCACAAAATGGGTACAGCTGACTTATTAATGGAAAGCTCTCTGTAAGAAGTGTGTAGCCTCACTGAACATTATCTTCCCTACTGGGAAGGAGTGGATGCAAACAATGCTGTGTGGTTTATTTACTTCCTTTCTAGTCCCGGACTCCTACTGTTTTCCATTTTATTTTATCCTGAACCTCTGACCTCCCAGCTTAAAAAAGAATGTAGTGTTTCAGCCATGTTTGTTCATTTGTTTTTAGTTGGACTGAGAATAGAGGAGGGCACAGCTCAATTACTCAGAACCTTCCTGCATGCAAACCACTCTAAATTCAACTCCTGTCCTTTTCAAGGAGGCTAGGAGAAAGTGGAAGGCTGTTGTCAACAATGTTGGGCGAGATCAGGGGTCTTCAAACTTGGCCCTTTTATGACTTGTGGACTTCAACTCCCAGAATCCCTCAGCGTGTCTGGCTGAGGAATTCTGGGAGTTGAAGTCCACAAGTCATAAAAGGGCCAAGTTTGAAGACCCCTGGGCTAGATGCGTTAGTGATCTGTCTCTAAACAAACTCATCTGCAAGCCTTCTTCTGTTGGGTGTCAGGTTTTCTTCTCTTGTCTATGGGAGAAGCTTTCTTTCCACTTTCTTTTTTTTCAACCCCAGATTTTACTTCTGTAATTCAGCTGCCCAATGTCCAAAGCAGTAAATAATTACCTCAAGGACGCACAATTCTTTGGGGGCTGAGCTGGCTTTTGGGTGGCTTAACATTGTCCAATAAATTAATGGCACTAGGATAAAAACTTTAAAAAAATCACTGAATCGAAATGTAATTATACAGTAGACCAGTGGTTCTCAACCTTTTTAATGCCGCGACCCCAACCGGTCGTAAGTCGAGGACTACTCAACCGGTCGTAAGTCGAGGACTACTCAACTGGTGCAGCACCGTTTGCAGAATGGGACTTTTGGCGGGCTCAGCAGGGCAGAGACAGCCTGGACAATTCCTATTGGCTTTTGAAAGCCAATAGAATTAGACTCTATTCAAGAGAGTCTATTCTATTGGCTTTCAAAAGCCAATAGAATAAAAGGGAGTAGCACAGCTAAGGAAAAGGGGAAAAAAATGGCAGACTGCGTTGTTTGGCAACCCCCATGAAATGGTCGTTCGACCCCAAATGGGGTCCCGACCCACAGGTTGAGAACCACTGCAGTAGACCATGACATACGATTATTATGATCTTCATGATTATAATAAACCTGCCCAGCACCTTAACAGTTAGAAACGAATGTAACTTTCAGAGGAGCTCTGGGGGACATTGCAAAATTTTCAATGGCCGCATCATGTTGTGCATCTCTGATAAAAATTAGACATTCATACAATTAATTCTAGTATATAGGAGTGCCCCATATATCAACAACTGCAGCTATCAAGATTGGCTATCATTCAATACATCTTACTTTGCCTGCCTCACTTTACTTATCTCAGGTAGAAATCCTACCCATCCTCTAGGGTTGAAGGATTAATAATCCTATTCTTTGCATGGAATTTTAAATGTAAACACATAGCCAGAAAGATGAAGTATACACATTATTTAGTTTTTGATCTAACATGCTGTGAGAATTCAATCACTGATTGTTTTTATCTTTGATTTATAGTTTAATATAATCTATTAATTCAGCCAACTGTGGCTTATTCAATAAACCATGATAAAGGAAATCATGATGGCCCTTGAGCGTCTTGTCCTGAGCCACAACATGAGCTATTCCAGACCAGTGTTTCTCAACCATGGCAACTTCCAGATGTGTGGACTTCAACACCCAGAGTTCCCCAGCCAGCATGGCCTCTGCAGAGAATCCTAGCTTTAACCTGGCGGCGGTAGCGGCCACCGGGCCCTTCTGGAAGGCAGCCATCTTTCTTAATTTTGCCATTGGAGACGTATGTCCAACTGGAGGTACCGGGGAATGAATTGCGACCCGCTTCCATGCAAAGTCCGCATTTTCCCTAGAGATCGTACCTCCGGGTCGGTTAATTCAGGCAGACCCGACGGGCGCGACCTTCTTAAACGTCCCCTGGGCCATCCCCTGCCCTCCCCCGGCCTCTCACCTGCCCTGCAGCTGTGCCTGGCGCGCACGATCTGCACCGCTTGCTGGTTCTGGAAGCGCACCAGCGCCAGAGTGATGTCGGCGTTCCAGCTGGGGTCTTCCTGGGGGCAGCGAAAGTCGATCTCGGCGCCGTCGTCCGTCACCACTGTGAAGTAGATGTGCCGCTGCTTCCACTCCACGCACTCGACGGCTTTGACGTGCGCGAAGGTGAACTCCTTGCAGCGCGTGGAGCCCCGGCTGCCGGCCTCAAAGAGCCGCAGCCCCTTCTCGCTGAGCAGGCAGCGCTTTTTCTTCCAGAGCTGCAGCAGCCCTCCGCTGCGCTTCTCCAGCACCCCCTCCCGCAGGACCTTCTCCGACGCCGCCATAGGAGCTGCGAGAGACCCTCCGGCCGGGAGGCGCTGCCAGTGAAACGGCCGCGTCGTCCGCCAATCGAAGCCGCGTTTTCCTCTTCCTCTGGCTTCCCCGGGAGAACGCGAAAGCCCGCCCTCTGCCGCGTGAGCCCCGGGCCGGCTCCCCGCGCCTCTCTGCTAGCGGGATCTGTCGCTACATGCCCGCTGCAGCTTGCGCCTCGCTCTTTCTGCTTCCCACTCGCATTCCTTTCCTGCTCCGCCACAGCCTCGCCCCAGTCTTGCCTGCCAGACGGGGCTCACGCCCAAACGCGGGACTGCTCCACTGGAAGCCTTGAGGGGTCGGGCCCGGCGTGGAAGCCTACCTGCTGCGGAGGCTGGAAGACCCGTTCGCCCGCCGACGGGCGTACGCGGCAGCTCGGGCAAGCAGCTAGGAGGGGCACGGAAGTCGCCCGGCTGGAGGGATGCTTTATTTTCTCAAAAAGCAGCAAACGCACACGGGTTTGAAAGGCACCGTTGGCATGTGGCCAGAGTTTAACGCGGAAGTATTGCCCGTGTACTTAGGTAGGGGCATGCCCTGTGGTCCTGCTCCTAGAGGTCCAGACTATGGTCCAGACTATAGTCTCACATGCGCATGTGAGAGGGGAAGATTCGTAGTAGAAAAGTGGTGTTGGTGGTGCTTAGCACATGTTTAGAAGAGGCAGGTTGAATTATGCAGAGAGGATTTGTGGAGGAGGGACACATGGATAAAAATATGTTTCACCTGATTGTTTAACCCATGCACAGTAGGGTGAGAACAGTTACTTAGGAGCAGAATGGAAGTTTCCCTATCCAAAGGATAAGTAATGTGAAAATTGACTCCAGCTGCATATCCTAGAAATTAAGTTGTACACCCCTGTGTACTAGTCCAGCTCATACCACACAACTTTGCTTTCCTGTGCAACTCCTCAGATGTTCTGTTAATAGTTTGCAGTGGCTGATACCAAGAGTAAATAAATGGTAGAAGACAAGGACAGAGGTTCATAATCCTCTCTTTGTGAGGCACAACACCTGGCTTCTCTTTCCCCTTTTCAAAGGAGTTGCATCTTTCCCAACTATTCATTTTCTGCTTCAAATTATAGTCTCAAATAATTCTTTTAATAGGGGAATAGTAGTCATATGTACTCCCCGCAAGCCACATACACCCAGATGCAATTATAAGCGCAAACTCAGCGGACTATTTAATCATGCCTTTAATTGTGCAGGTGTTTCATAATATTGAACTGAAACAACGCTGAGAATCTTCTGATAGGTTATTAGATAATAAATGAAATAAAGTGTTGTCTCCAAGTTTATGTAGATTAGAAACATGATATGCAAAATATTTCAAAGCAACTTGGAACATGAATGCTCTTAACAGAGGAATAGAAACTGGAACATAAATTTGGAAACATGAGTCACGTTTATTATCTCAGTGCTATATTTGCAATAAGTATCAAACCATTATCAAATCTGTCCAGATATTTTTAGCACAACTGAAGCATGCAATTGTTTGTATGTTTACTTGAAAGAAAATTGCATAGATTGCTATGGACATCTATTTAACCATATTCTTTAGGATTTTGCACATTTCAAAAATGATTAATGAGAAATTCTGAGCATTTCCCTGTTAATCCTTAGAACAGCCCAATTTTTTAGGCCATGTCTCTCTGTGTGGTCCACTGTGTGTCTTCTGAATCATTTATGAAGTGTGTGTAGTTCCAATATCACACTTTTAGAAGTAGCATTGCGTAAATTGTTAATTCTGTTACTGCTGTTATTGCTTTAGGTTTTAAGTATTGCTGTTTAATCTTCTACACTGAGTGATGTTTTAATAAACATGTACTTCACAGTAGCAGCATACTGCAATTATTCTAGTGGTGAAGCTATTAAACTACTGCTTTGAATCACCAGTCCAAAATCTGTAGGAGAAGAACCATGTTAAGTCTATGGTATCAAAAAAATCTATCTGGTAATCCACTTTTCTAACACATTTTATTAAAAGGTACATGTCTCTGTAAATCGCCACTCACTTCTTCAGAAATGGCGGCTCAGGAAAAATCATGTCTTTTAATAAAATGTATCCATCTAAAACTGGACTGTAACCCTGAAATCGAAGCTTACAGGAACAATATTCTAGATTCATACAAATCATTTTTTTCTATCTTCCTTGAAAATAGGTTCACTTATGAGAAATGTATCTGACAAACACAAAGACAGAATTTGAGAGATTATTGTGGTAAGTAGGTATTGATATCCTGATACTTTATGTACTAAGTAGGGATGTAGGAAGTTCTTGAAGACAGAAACTTTAGCCGACGAATATAGGATGGAAGGAGGAAATCAATATTACTCTAACTACCCTAATTTTATCACTGCAGTCCTAAATGGATTCAGAGCGGAACATATAGAAATCACATAGTATCTCTGCATGAGGAGAGAGAACATTTTTGTGAAAGGAAGCTAAAAGGAATATGTTATAAAAGAGGGTCATGGAGGGAGGGACCTGTCTGAAATAAAGATTGACAAACAACAAAAACCTCAGCTCACTATTCTTTGCTATTTTCTGACCCTGCAATCAAGTGAAGCAGAGCTGTTGCATCTAAAGGTAAAGATACCTCTCAAAATAATAATCAGTGGAAGAATGAAATATCACTTTCCCCTTAAATAGGACAGATTTAAGGTCAGATTGGACTGCAAGGCGTTCAAACCGGTCAGTCCTAGAAGAGATCAACCCCAACTGCTCTTTAGAAGGCCAGATCCTGAAGTTGAAACTCAAGTACTTTGGCCACCTAATGAGAAGGAAGGATTCACTGGAGAAGAGCCTAATGTTGGGAAAGATTGAGGGCAATAGAAGAGGGGACGACAGAGAATGAGATGGCTGGATGGAGTCACTGAAGCAGTAGGTGTGAATTTAAATGGACTCCAGAAGATGGTAGAGGACAGGAAGACCTGGAGGAACATTGTCCATGGGGTCGCGACGGGTCGGACACGACTTCGCAATTAACAACAACAACAAGGTCAGATTACATCAGAAGCTATTAAAGAGGAATAGTGTCCATAAACTTTATTTGCTTCTCCAAACAAATTAATGGAGCTCTGCTCTTATCTCTTCTACCTTGTTGAAAACCCGGAGAAAAGGTTTTAAAATCAGAAGTGGTGCAGCGAGAGGATATGGAAGGAATTTGGGAAATAAAGTGCTAAGGGAGAGAACAAAGACTATTAGGAGACCAGAGCGGGAGGAGAATACCCCTCAACACTCCTCCAAACACACTATCAATCATTTCCCCAAATGTCAGATGAACTTCAACCTACCCCCAAAACGAAAACATGGCAAAGCATTATACATTTTACACAGATTTTGAAGCTGTGGTGGGAGTATGTCAGGAGGTAAAATACCATTTAAAGGTATTTGGCAAAATAGGTGCACTTAATGTTTTAAGATAGATTTACTCAAAGGCAGTGTTGTAGGTCAAAGGGGAAGACTAGTGTAGAAATCCAAATAGTAAGCAAAACTCGCACTCCTTAACTTGGAAGCCCAGACATGAAGCAGGGGAATGTTTGCTTTAGAAAAGGAAAATACAGTTATCAGCCTAGCCATGAATTTGCCTTCAATTTCTTTTTCCTGTGTGGTGCTAAATCAAGGACTTTTATTTCTCTATTATTTCCTATTTCAATAATTATTATTATAATTATTTCTTATTATAATGAAAAATCACTATTATACAAGTTAGGGAATGGTGTGTACTTCAACTATTCCATATTTTATATTGTATTTTGATTTTATCTTTAGAATATTTAGTTAACAATTTGGCTTAGAACATTGTCTCCATGATTTTTCTGAGTTTGCAGCTTTTATTTGTTCAAACCATACGTTTTTACACTCTTCTAAGAATATTGTATTTTATTCTGAAATTTTCTCTTAAATTGCTATCTGTAATTTGAAAAGTTCTACATTTTATTGCCTTTATCATTAAAAGTGTTTTACTTTTTTTCTTCTAACAAAGTTTGGTCTTATTTAACTCTTGTAAGATTTATTTATCTCAAGAAAATAGGGCTGAATTTTCAAAAAACAAGGATGTTGTAAGGATGTTGCACTAGTGAAATAATAATATGCATTTTGACTTTATAATCGGTGAGAGCCCCATCAATAGCTCTCACAAATTGGGGCAGTGGTGGGATAGAGCCTGTTTAGTTCACACCTGTTTGGTAGAACCAGTAGCTATTTTTTTGTTGACTTCTACGAACCAGCTGATGCCCTAGTCCTTTTTCACAAGGCTCAGAACGGACCACCGGAAGTGTGTGGATGCCACTTCCGGAAGTCCATTCTGGGCCTGGGAGGCCTCCCCGGCTCAGAACAGACTTCCAGAAGTGGCATCCAAGCAAAGAACTGGTTGTTGAGGTATTTGAATCCCACCACTGAATTGGGGTCAGGGAAAAGATGTGAGTTGCCTGTTGGAAGGTAGGGGATCCCAGGGACTACCAAGCTACTATCCGAAAGCAGAGCAGGTTCAGGATCTGAAGACCAGAAGGCTTCTGTGACTACAGACAGCCATCCACTACAAAATTCAATAAATAGATGTAGAAATGTCAATATAATTGAATAGGTAGTTTTATAAATCACATTAAGGATACCGTTCTTTTGTTTGTATTTTCTTCTTTTGCATTGGCTTGTTTTGCTATATTTAGTAAATTAAGCATATTTTGTTATGTTAATCATGATTTCTTTGTTTTCATTCAATATTTTTAATCCATATGGTTAGCTTCCTGTTTTCTCTCCACAGAGAATATTTTTCTCTATATTTTCATATAGCTCTTTCTTAATTTCCTTTTTTCTTTTTCTACTACTGGTGGTCTTGCCTTACAATTAGTTGCTTAACCATCATTCAAAGTTCTGAGGGATTTTGAAAAAGCTACTTGCAACTCAAAGTTACGACTGCTACAATCCCTCCCATTCCCATGGTCACATGATTGCATTTCAGGCACTAGGCAACTGGCTCACATTTACGACCAGTTGCAGCATCCCGTGGTCATGTGACTGTGACTAGCATTTTTTGGTCATGTTCTAGCACAAAATGACAAAAACGGCTGTTAAATATGTTGGATTTGCTTAATGACCACATGATTCTTAAGTGGACCATGTGGCTCGCATTTATAACCAGTTGCTGTAAAACGGGGTTTATTTGGTCTGCTATGACAGAAAAAGCCAATGTAGTGGTTAAGGTGTTAAATAAGATTGAGAGGCCCAGATTCTGGTCTATCCTCAGCCACAGAAGCTCACTGGGTTGTTTTGGGAGAGTGATGTCTCTCAGTTCAGCTTGCCTTATCCGATAGCTATTATGGTGGAAAAGTAGGAAATGTTGACTTGAGCTGGTAAATAAAAGTCAGAACACGAACAGAACAAAAATACTTTTCTACTATATTTTTTGTATTAATAGTTAAAGGTTAACATATCACTGCTACACATCCAAATAAATATACTTTGTTATTTTCTTTATTATCAGTTCTTTTCCTGATAACATTGTATGGGAGGAGGGTATTCTTTCATTTCTTCAGAGGACTTTCTGATTATGGACAATTAAAACTTTTTATTTAGTAACTTTGTATGAACAGCTGATGTACTCAATAAGTTATTTCTCTCTTTTTTAGGTGGGCCTTCTTAGAGAAGATGAAAATTTCATTAAGCAAGTGAAGGATCAAAGACAAGCCCACATTAAGAGAATTTATGGGGTTTTAGTTGAATTGGACTCAGAAACGGAACTGATTAAAGATTGTATGATTAGATGGGCGCAGAATTTTTGGTGAGCCAGTTCCACTGGACACCTGGGAAACTATTTGGGTGAGAAATGTCAAATTTACACAAGCACAGAATTTAAGGGAGAATTTCTATAAAATGTTTTATAGATGGCACCTTGATCCACAAAAAATGTCTTTTATGTACCCTGACCTACAACCTAAATGTTGGAGATGTGGGTGTATGGATGCTACTTATTATCATATTTGGTGGTCGTGTAGAGAGATAAAAGCATTTTGGATTAAGATATGGTGGAATATCCAGAGAATTTTTAAAAGGAGGGTAAAATTTACTCCGCAATTATTTCTGTTGGGTATAGTTACTGATTGTGATACAAAGGAGGTTATATTGATGTTAAATTTGATTACAGCCGCGAGGCTGTTAGTTGGACAATATTGGAAGAAGGAATCTTTGCCTACATTGCAGGAATGGTTTCTTAAAGTGTCTTATTTGGCGGAAATGGCAAAGATTTCGGCTTTCTTAAAGCAACAAACGGAAGAGAAATTTCTTGCTGTTTGGGATAAATGGATAAAATTTATACAGTTTAAAATGGATATTAAAAAATATTATATAGCTTTTTCTTAATTTTTATTTTTATATATATACATATATATTTTAAAGTATAATTTTTTTGATTGTTTTTTAACTAAGCCTATATTCTGCTCTGGGAAGCTCGGGGGGGGGAGAAGGGGGGGTGTTTGGGGGAGGTTGGGGAAGGGAGGGTTTGTTGTGTAATGTTTAGTTTTTTTCTTTGTATATGTTTTTTGTCTTTGTATTGTTTTGTTTTTTTTCTTTTTCTTTTGTAAAACTTATAAAACTTTTAATTAAAAAAAAAGTTATTTCTCTCTTTTTTAAAAAAAAAAGTAATAAAACTCTCTGAATGTTTTATTATAGAATGACTATCACATGGAATACTAGTAGTTCTTTTTTTCTTTTAACAGTGATTGTCTTTTTATCCTGTTCGGCTGCCTCCTTTAATCCTTCTTCCCTCGTTCAACTTCATTCTTTCTGCCTGCCTGCCTTATTTATTTATTTATTTATTTATTTATTTATTTATTTATTTATTTATGAGACTCATATACCGCTTTAAGTGCAAGCACTCTCTAAGCAATGTACACCAGTAAGCAATGTATATATATATTTTATAAGCAAGTATTGTTATCCATTTAAGCAAACATAGCAATGGTTTTCCAGTTGTTCTCATTTTAACTAGACTTGATTTTAAAAAGCAAACACCCTTATTTGTCTGCTCCCAAGACTGGTATACCATTTGAACTAAATATAGACCCCAGCCTGAAATATCCAAGACATTAAATTTGGCCAACTTAATTAAAAACAAAATTTCTTTTTAGCATTCATTTCTCTTCCATCCATGGATAGGAAATCAGGTATTTTTATTTGAGAATACAGTATTGGGAATGCGTAGTGTCTACCTAGAAAACAGATATTATATGTAATGTCCAGAACACGGCCAGTAGAGGTCAGCAGTCCTTTTGAGAACAGGAACAGCACAAAAACAACAGGACAACACAATTGTGTTGCTACAAATTTGCATGTAAAATGCTTATATTCAGAAGATAATGTTCTGGCATCAAGTGATTTCAAGTGACTCTAAATCATTCTAAACCAAAGGGGGAAAAGTCACAATGTAATTTCAGCGAGAGAGTGGTTGCACTTATAAATGCAGGGAAGAATATCCAAAGCCACTTCTTTGTCTTTCTTTAAATCTTTCTATTTATTTTTCTGCTTGTTCTATTTTCATATCTCATTGCATTTTTAGATTTTTATATATATATTTCACTTTTTTGGTTTAGTTTGTTGCCCTTATTGTTCTTACGTGTATGTGTGTGTCTCTCTGTGTGTATGTAGGTATGTAAATATTCTAAATCATTAGGATCATTCTGGGAGGTTGGCCTGCCTTGAAAGAATGAGAGGTGAGATGTTCTTAGTCCATAGGAACAATGGTGAAAGTTAATTTAAGAACAGATTCTAAGAAATGAAAAAAAACCCCAGTTATAAATGAATAAAATCAGAGCAGAAAAAAATACCAATAGATTCTCCTTTGACATGAGGAAGAAAAAAAAAGAAGTGGCTTTGCAAAACTATAAAACTAAAATGGAAATTAATATAGCACAAAACAATGTGTTTAAATTACACTGCTGAAGGAGCACACTACCTCCACTTGGACTAAATAAACAAAGGGACAGGTTTTAATGCATGAATGTCATCTGAAAAGTCCACCTTTCATTGTGTCTCATTCAGACGTAGAAGTTGTGAGCATAATGCTCAAGCATTCTGATTGGCCTTTTCTCTTGTTGAAATCTGTCAGAGGTCATCTGAAAAAAATCCCCAACACCCCAGAAGTTTTTTTTTCATATTAGAATTTGCCTCCTGAGATCAGACTGGAGGGTCACATGATTTCCAGCAGTGACTCTTGGAATGAGTTTCTCTCTACTCTGGGTCTCTTAGGCAGGTATGTGAAGGGACGGGGCAGGGAGGGGGGTGAACACAAAAGGCAAGAAAAAACCCCACATCCTTTTAGCTCTGGTTTCTGTAAAATATGACTACAAATCTTTAGGCATTCCCCTATGGATTAAAACAAGCGGGTTTCTTTACGTTTATTAAAAGAAAGCATACAAAATTCAGTTCCGTTTATGCTTCCGTTTCCATAACGGTAGACCCAACACATCATGTGAGTGGGTTTGGTTATGTGATCAGAAGGGAAGCATTAGAAAAGGCAGAACCTTTGCAATGGAAACAGCAGCAGAATCAGGAGGCTCTGCCTCCCTCTGCATTAATTGTTCTGGGTGATTTTTTTTTTTTTCCCTGTCCCAGTGCTAACTAGATCTGACCCATTTTGGAACTTGAGCCTTTTTTGTCAGCTTCTTCTGCCATACTAGCTTTGGCCTGACTGTTCTGTTTTCAGAGAATCATCCTGCTGATGGAGAGACATGGAACCCTGAGCCCCTTCTCATAAATTCTTTCCAACATTCCATCAAATTTGAAAAAATAAAATTTTGTAACACACACGAGATTCATTTTGACTGCTTTATTAAAGGCAGAGAAATTTCTCTGAACATAGTTTATGTTTGTAATAAGAATATGCCACACTCTGGATTCCATTTCAAAAGGAAACTTCAAAGCACAGGGATGCATGAAGGTAGGACCTGTTTAGTGCATTTTAAAGTAACCATATATTTTCTCAGGATCATATGGTTGTCCCTGCCACCATAGAAAAATCTTGGGAAAGTCATATTTGGACAATTGTAATTACTACTATTGCAGTAATTACGACTATTGTACATGCACTTTGAAGTTTCTTTTCTAAATTATTTTTAAAGCACTGGTATAGTTTCTTTGTTGTGTCTACAGAATTACTGCATTTTAATTTAACCCCATATTAAGTACTGAACGGGGATTAAATCATTAAATAGGCTGCATTATAAATGAAAAATATGTGCATTAGGCTCATACTAAAACTATTTAGCATGATATGGGTCCATGAACTAGGTTTTTCAGTTTAAGAAACTAAAAAAACAGTGAAACTTAAGACTGTGAAAGCAGGAGTCTTCTATGTTTAACAAAAGGAGGAACTAGAACTGTCAACTCTGGTCCAAAGATGAAGATATCTACAATTCTTACTTTTCATAGTTTAAAAAAGGAATTCCAATCCATCTTAATCTTTTTTTAATTTTACCAATAGGGATTCACATATCATTCTAAGGCACTGAATCTAAGGTATGATTTGTTTTTAAGTGAAGAAGCTGTTTTGCTTGGTTTAAACATCACACTACGCTACAAACCATGTTTTCTAAATTATAATGGTTGGGTTCATACATCATACAAAGCCAAATTCAACCAAATCACATTTTAACTTAGTACAATATGTGAATTCAGTAATTATTCAGCTAAGTGGAAAAATGCAAAAATGAAGCAGCAACAAAATGGATATTAATAGTCCCAGTTTTCTAAAAAATGGAATCCGGAAAAATGGTGGATTCTGATTGTCTCTAAAGTCAAACATTTTAGGAATGTTAAAAAAACCCAGATCCATACTGATCTTCAAAAATTGGAAATTTGGTCTTTGAAATTTTGAAAATCAAACTGAATTCTACCAAACCAATGTACAAAAGCATCTTAATTAGCGGCCACTGATTAATACATATTTTTTTGTTGAAAATGCAGTATTTACTTCAGCTTGAGAGCTAAGGTGTTTTTTATTTATATTTTCTCTAAAATTTGAAGAATGTGCTTTACTTGGGCATTTCTTAATTCGCAGCTTTGCATCCTAGCACATAATGATCACTGATACTTTCCACAGTACTTATTTATGAGACTGTTAATGTGTAACTTAGTATCATAAAATATATTCTAATAAAAATTATTTATGCTGGCCCAGGTTGAGAAAAGATTTTGAAAGACAACTGTTGCAGTATTTGTTATTCAAAAGCAGCTATGTGCTCTGTAGCCATCTGAAACGTCAGTGAAGACTGAATGCATGGATGTATGTTAAAGGAGGCCATTATTCTAATATGAGCCATGGTGAGTTTGAGGCTACTGTATGGCTTCAAAGGACCTGTGGAATAAGGCCCTTTGAAAGACTTCCCATCTAGCAAAAAGGAGTAGCAGATTGTTACTGTATTACTAATACATACAAACTAGCAAGATAGCCTTATTCTTGCTAAGGATTGGATTGGATAAACTCAGCTGTGGCGAAGCATTCAGTGCTGGAAAGGATGCTTCAAAGCTGCTGGGATCTAGTTCTTCACTGAGAATGGACAAGTGCCCCTGCTCCCTGGCCAAAGCCAAAGCCTTTAGGTCCAAAGTTCTTGGCATAGCAACCTGTTGAAGAGAAGCAGCAGAAGAAACAATCAGCGATTAAACAGGTTCTGAGCTCAGGAAGAATCATAAACAGTAAACATATTTACAGGCTTATCAGTGAAGATGTGCTTAGAAAACAAGAGCTTTCTGTTTTCTGGTTATCAGCTTTAAGACTTTTTTTCCACCTGGCCTGTCATGCTCTTTTTAGAATACAATAGAGGTTTGGTCAATGGGGCTTCTACCCACTATTAATCTAGTTTGCTTAGCCCAGTGGTGGCGAACCTATGGCACGGGTGCCAGAGGTGGCACTCGGAGCCCTCTCTGTGGGCACATGTGCCATTGCCCCAGCCTCGCCTTTCCCCATGACCCCCTCCTTACCAGCAGCCCCCTGGAGGAGTCACCCCTGAGTGTGGCCCATGTGGAGCAGTGCAGCTAAGGACATGACAGCCAGGTAGTGTAGACAAGACTCTGCCCTCACGCCCCATCATGCACAGTTGATGCTGCAGGATGCGGGTAGAGGGCGTGGCCACCATGGCGCTGCTGGGCTGCCTAGGCGATCTGTGGTGGGCCCTGGAGGTGGTGAATGGCCGTGCGGGCAGGCGGGGTGGGGGATGGTGTAGGGGCGGAGCAGGGGCACAGCAGAAGGTGGAGCGGGGGGCAGGGCCAGTTTTTGGGCACTCGGTCTCTAAAAGGTTCGCCATCACTGGCTTAGCCATTCCCACTGGCAAGTGCAGCTAAATGGAGTAATTGAAAGAACTGTGACTTGGTATAGTATCTTATATACCCAAATGCAATCAAGCATTAGAAAGCATCTCTCGAGTAGATAACCTGAGGCATGCTGCTCCATAATCAAATTGCAAATCAAACGAGTAAATAAGTGTTACAAGAAACATGTAAGGCATCTGCTTGGCACTCTCCTGAACTTCTAAATCATAACCCATTGCATAAACAGTATTTGTAGATTTTGCAACAATTTTACATAAGAGAACATCTGTGTTAGCATCCGATACTGACTAGCAAGTAATCATTACATGCCATTAAGTATGAACATACGTGATACATCCTGAAGTAGAAGCTCTTACCCTTGCAATAGATTTCTCCATCTTTATCAGCCAAAGTTGTAGACTCCAGGCCTTTGCCACATTTTGCACATCGGAAGCAGGCCTTGTGCCATGACTGCGCATAATACAGAAGACATATTGTTAGTATGGAAGTGAATAATTTCACTTTGATATCCTACATGAGCTTGACTAGGAAAGCACTGCCCTCCATAAAATTGATGTACAAGGCCAGAAGTCCTTCTATCAGCTTCCTGTTTCTTATACTGGCCTGTATGAAAATATTCTACTTTGAAAGATAATTGTAACATTTTCACAAAAAGAAGGTAGATTTTGCATGTTTTTTCTGAATTCGCAGAACTTATAACATTAAATTTGCAGATAATGCACAACCGTATCTGTATGTAACAAGTGATTATTTCTTGATTTTAATATTTTTATTTTCAGATGCATGCCCCAACTATCTTTCTTAGTAATAATTATAGTCTTGGATAATTGCTTAGTTTCAGTTGTACTGCTAACCTTTATCATAGATAGAAAACTGAGTTGTCCTTGGTATTAATGAATAAAATGCCCAGCAGCCAGTGATCAAGAGTGCTGGGAGTTGTACATTAGAAGCAAGAGGAGAGGCACCACATTCTCCATGTTTTAGACATCCTGAAGCATAGAATTTCAAAGAAGAGTATTGTATTTTTTCCTACAAACATATTCACTTATGAATTTATTACACAAATAAAGCTAGTAAAATTAGTGTAAAATGTAATATGTAGATTTTTATAAACACACAAAGAGAAAGCCCAATTTAGCCTAAATTAATATATTCATATTTACTATTTACTAATAATAGTTCTTACCTTTCCAGCTCCAACCACCTTCTCAGCAGCATAGACAGCTTGTCCACAGCGAGGGCAGCCATCAGCACCACCCACCTTTTGGGCAATCCTGGATGCATTAGGATTGTTGGTTGGGTAGTGGGGATGAGATCTGTGAGGACGAGAAAACAGTCATTTCATGTTTCCAGGTATGTATATAGAGACAATATCAGAGAGGAAAATATTTGGGATTCCCAATTTAGTGTGTGGAAAAGCGGTGGTGATATAAAGAAAGAAGTCATCAGTATTCTAGGCATAGATACATAAAAAATAAGACTGGTTTTGATTTTTGATTTTATTTTAGCTGATGAGTGTAAGATATATGAGAAAGCAGTAAGAATTCATAATTTTGAAATTACAATATTAAACACTATAAAACCATTGAATTTGTTTATATTCCCAATATTTCTTATCACTGTAATAATGGATACTCAAGTTAAAAAAGATTGACAATGACTTACAAAAACAGACTGGTTTTTTTTCTTTTTCATTTTTTTCCTGCACCTTTTATGCTTTCCATTCTCTCCTCTTTCTCTAAATTTAGTTTGAATTAGTTTTTAACCATTGTAATTAAAATTCTTAATAAAATGATATAAATAGGCTGGCTTATAGGTGTTCTGCAACAAATTCATAATTTTATACCTTACAGCAGACATGTCAAACTCATGAGGTCACGTGACGTCGTGCAACGTATCGGGACAATTTTGCTCTTGCCAGCAATGGAGTGGGTGCGGTTTCCACATGACATGTCTGGCTCGCGGCTGGCAGTTTGATAGCCCTGCCTTATAGCCTTCAAATTAATTTGCTATAGGTATTTTTCTGTGCTAAATTACTGGTCAAAGTAATTTTAATCAAACTTCTAAGCTTTTGCTCTGAACATATAGTTGGCTCTGTAACCTGCTATCTAGTAAGCTACACTCCTTTTCACTCCAAAATCTCAGTGAATAAAAACCACTATTGGCCAAACACTTTCTGGCATCCACAGTTCTTCTAGCTATGCTTACTTTCCAGAAGTAAAAGAATATACATTTGAACAGAGAACAAGACTTGTAGGGATCTAGAGAATGCTGGGTATACAAATTTACCAATCTTATTTTACCCATTTAAAAATCAACCTTCACTCCATAGTTCAATAATAATCTAGCATTTCATATAAATAGGTCACAATTATATCTAAGTAGGTTTACAGTGAATTGCATTTGGGACCTAGGATTATGTTTCAGAACAGAAATTTAAATGCCTATTTTGCTGCAAATTGGATTTTTACCAAGGCAACATCTGCTTTCTTCATAATCAAAGTATTTGAATAATGATATAAATTCAAATCAATATATTAAGCAATCAGACTTTGCAGATTTTTTTATTAGTACAACTCACTCTTCAGATTTGATCCCCAATGCTTCACCCTTGTCCATGCTTAAAGTCCCAGCTCCTTGTCCATATCCATAGCCTTTTGGTCCATATTTCTTCCCATAGCATGACTTGCAGTAGATCTCTTCTCCATGCACAGCCACTGTAGTGCTATCCAGATTCTTCTTGCAAACCACTACAGCCATTTGGGAAGGACAAAGATATCAGATGTCATCTTTATAAGCTTATATATTAGACCTAATTTGTAATATAGGCAATTAGGATATTTGTGGAACCATTAAATACCACTAAATAGTATATTATCTAGGGTGAACAACATATAGCATGGAAGATTATTACCATCTTTTCCAATCTAATGCCTTCAATAATGTTGTACAACACAGGGAACCAATTTGGATAAAAGGCTGATCTATCAGGATGTTCTATAGCTCAATTTTCTTTTCTTTTTTCTTTTTTAAATGTATCTCTATCTTCTTTTAGAGGGCAAAGTCTGGAGATATTAAATCAGTATTTTTCTCTTACACATTTTCTTTAACAAAGCAAAGATAAAAGGATCTAATTGCAGAAATGGCACAGAGAAAAAAGCAACAAGTAAGGATTTGTACAGAACAATTTAACTTGAGCAATTTTCTCAGCCATAAACTGTATTATTTTATTTCTGAACTTCCATTCACAAATAGAAATACAGGAAAAGCAGAAAATCAGGAATTTTACAAAAGCTTATGCCTCTTAATAAAATTTATTAGTTAAAAAAATGCTACTGGACATGACCTTTTTTTCCTAACAGAGATTGTCCCACAGAATGTCTAGAAAAAAGTACACAGAGAGAGGTAAAGCATCACATTAATAGGGATAATTTTGATCACAAACATAGACTGTACAGTTAAGTTTTTAAAAAATCAGATAGCAAACAGGGAATTGGGGCCAGCAGGCAAGATACTCAGAAGAAAAGAATGGTAGATATCAAAAAATGGCACATTATTTAAATCACCAAACTACCAATCTGATATCCATCAAAGGAAATAGTCTCAAGTATGAGAGTAGCCAATCCACATTAGGATTTTTCTGTTTTTTATGCAAAATCTGGATTACTCATAAAGCATTTGTTGTATTTATTACTCTATTGCATTCATAGTAAAGTTTTCTGTATATTGCAGTATTTTGCAGGCCAATTCCATGGCATTCTATTTGCAGTATATTTAGATTTCTACAATTAGCATTAGTAGTATATTGCTTGATGTGTCTTAAAAAATTGTTAAATCAGCCTTGGAGTGGCCAACATGAGCTTTGTCTTTTCTTTGTTTTTTTCTTCTTGGGGTACTTTAAGTGGGCCCAAGCATCACCTGGACATACCAATTATCCAAGTATAAACGGAAGCTACTGCTAGCATCTGTGGATGGGTTTGCATTGGGAAAACTTCTTACGTGGCAGAAGCAGAAAAGAAGTGGAGCAGCTATCAGAATAAAGTGCAGCTTAGCAGATGACTAAGGGTGGAAAGAGGAGAAGGCATGGACTCTAGTAAACTAACAATAGACAAATTTAAAGGAGAAATTGAACCCATCAGCTTCCCCATTCCAGCAGAGATGCTGAGAGCCATCAGCCAGCTACTAAAGCACCTTTTCCCCCCATCAACACAAATCGAGATACTCTAAAAAGTCAACACTAAAGCCATGAATATAACTGACATCATCTGACAATAACAACATTCAAGATAGCTACATAGTGACTAAGGAATTTGCTTTACTGTAATTCAGGCGATAGAAGACCAAACTGTTTGTAAGGCTGTTTTAGAATTAGACCATAGGCATAGATATTAGTATAGACAAAATACAGCTTTAGTGTTTGTGTGTGTGTGTGTGTGTGTGTGTGTGTGTGTGTGTTGTCCAGAGAGGCTGGATTCTGTCATTTATTAACATATGATTGTCTGCGAGAACATATGATTGTCTGCGAGAACATAGCAATTGTCTGCGAGAAAAAAAATTAACTTGGCTCCAGGGTAGGCTGCAACCAAAGTTCTCTTCTTGTTATGATGGATTATAGCAGCTAGCCTTTAACAGCCAGAGCTTTTTGAACCACAATAAGTTGTCTTACTCTTAAGGAATGCAAATAGAAAATCAAATATCCTCTCAGGAATGCAGTAGAGGGAACAGTAGGAGCAGTCTCTATATATGGAAAACACAAAGACTGAATTTCCCGTCCTGATGACCAAATATGGTGTTTGTCTCCCTGGGCTGGCAAAGGGTTGGCTGAGAAAACCACCAGCAGGAACAGTAATAAAATATTGCCATGAAAGGAGGATCTTTAGAAGAACTTCCCCCCCTCCCCCATAAAGAAACAGCTAATTTTTCTTTTATTGTCCTGGAATGAAGTTTGTACTTGCCTGCCCCTAAGATCCTATAAATTGCTGTGGCTTGAATATTGGAATTTTAAGAAAAACTTTGCCTTGCATTAGCAGAGCTATATTTAAGGCATCAGCTTTTACCAATGGTATTTTATTTTTCCAAACCTTTTATTTTTCCAAACAGTCTTGTTCCCATCTTAGAAAAGTAATCATTTACCTAGCCCTTTGTGCAAATTTTGATGAATTATTGCAAAACTCCTCACCTAAATATTAATCCTCTTGTCATCAAATCTTCAATGTGTGTGTGTGTATTGAGAACAAGCACACAAAGAAAGAAAAGAATGATGCCTTCCCTTTGATAATTCTGTAGCACACCAACATATATAGAGAAATATAGTGCCTATTTTGATATAGCAGGAGCCCATGATTCATTTACATTTCTAATTTGTTATTAAGTCATGTTGAACTATAAACCTCTCTGCTATATTCAATGCAATAATAATTGATTCATTACTATTATACTCATTCTTCTAGAGAAATTATCACCCATTCTTAATTTTTGTCCAAGAAATTTAATACAGTCGGTGTGCAAAGCTCATTCTGAGCAACTAAACCCTAACCCTAAAGTTTAATCAGAACCTATCAGGACTAACAAACTTTTTTTTTAAAAAAAAGATTTAATTAAGAACTTCCTGTTTTCCAAAACCTTTGGATAGTTTACTGATGAAAGCTATAATTTAATTTTTGGAGATTTAAAGTATTTATTTGCTACTGTCTGATATATCTTAGGTGTTTTAAAATAAGAGGTGTAAAAGTTTCATAATAAGTGACACAATGATGATTTTACTCTATCTCATCTAAGTTCACTCTTGTAACACATTTGGTAATGCAGCTTCTTGTTTGTGAGCTGACAGTCTTTAATCCTAAATACGTGATTTTTAGGAATATACTAATATAATATCTGCAGTCATAAATCAATGGGGAAGCTTGCAGGGAGAAAGTTAATGGGGATCATGTGATTGCAGATGATGGCAGGAGCATGGTGGCAGCTTTGGACTGGCAACTCTCTTTCTTGGGAAGTTTGAAGGAAGAAAGTCAATGGGGAACCTTGCCGGAAAGGTCCCAAATTGCTTGGGTAATTCTATGCAGCCTCTGCAATAGTGAATATATCTGAAAGGATGACCCAGTGTTTAGTATAATCTAGATCAGGGGTCCTCATCCTTGGCAACTTTAAGATTTGTGGGCTTCAACTCCCAGAATTCCTCAGCCACCTTTGTGGAGTTGAAGTCCACAAGTCTTAAAGTTGCCAAGGTTGAGGACCCCGATATAGATTATAGTTTAGATAGTTTATTAATTAATTAGTCTTATGACCATATCCAAAATATGAAACAAAAATAAAATATAGGATCTAATTCCTGGGTAAAATAGATAAGTGAAAATACAGAAGTAAAATACATATGTAGTAAATAAAAAGACTCAATATTCAAATAAATACATCAACTGTATAGGATACTTCAATCTGTTTGATGTAACGGGTTTTTAGTTCAACTGCCTTAACTATAAATTTAGCAGATTTGCACTGTATACAGTAGAGCCCAGGAGGCGATAGGACAGTATGCAATTCAGATCTCAGTGGGCTGTTCTTTTGAGTAGAAATGTTAACCCTAAGAGGGGCATATAGTTGACAATCAAACAAAATATGAGCAATATCCTTGATGATTGGAGTACCACATATACCAGGCATGTCAAACTCACGACATCACGTGACGTCATGCAATGTATTGGGCTGGTTTTGCCATTGCCAGCAATGGAGTGGGTGCGGCTTCCATGTGATGTGTCCGGCCCGCACACCGGCAATGTAACACCCCTGACATATACAGTACATGTCCTCTCATGAGATAGCAGGTGGTGGAAGCATCCATCTTTGGCCATTGAATCCAACAACTCAAATTTACCTCTAGAATATGCCTTTCTGGAGAATTATACCAAACTCATTAACAGGTATTTTTCAAATTGAAAAATGGTTTTTAACCAACCAACTGAAAGATCTATTTTTTGCCAGTAACTCCACATCAGTTTGAAGATTCTCTATTTAAAAACTCCCCTTGCCATGTAGTAGTAAAATAATAATATAATACAACTGCATGCATCATATTTCATAAAATTATTTACTCTGATACTCAGGCATTTTTTAGTCTCATTAATTTGATAAGAAATATAATTTTGACTGTAACATTTGTTTTTTTTAAACTTAATTTGTTAACTATTTCCATCACTGAAGCAATTCTATTATATATGGCAGAAATACAAAAAAAGCAATTAAGTTGCGCCGAACTGTATAGTCTATTTTTTTCTTAGCAATTTACAGTGTTCTGTAGATAGGTACAAAGGCTAGGCAGCTCAAAAGCTTGATTTATAACAAAAAGATTTGTTTTATACACCACAAACACACCAGAAGGTATGAAGTTTTAGTACGAACAGGCATACTGGCAAAACACTTGGTTACAGCATTTCTAAATGCTGTGGGCTGGATGAAGCTTTTGCCTGGAAAGATGATTCAAAGAGAATTTGGTCAAATCACTGAATCAATTTTCTGAACTGGCCTGATTTTTGGGACTTCAGGGGAAGAAATGAACAACTGCAGCAGACTGAAGAGCCAGCAAATAGAAAGCTATTATCTCTGTAATCCTTAATGGACTTTTGCTGGTCAAGACTGAAAGGAGATGAGGCTTTAAGGATTTGTTTAGAGATAAGAGATGGGACAAGAGTTGAGGGTTTGGTATAATGGTTAAGACATCAGTCCAGAAACCAGGAGACTATGGGTTCTAGTCCAA